TTAGCTCCAGCGTTTTCCCCACTGCTCCAGCTGTCCATTTGTTGATATTTTTGGCCAATGTCTATGGTTTTAGAGGTTAGAACATTTGGGGAAGCAAGTTTGGGAGCCTCTCACTCTAAAATCCCTCTCTCTCCACAAAATTTTCAGAGCAAAATTTATGCCTCTCTCTCTAGAATCCTCTCTCTCTTCCTATTTTGTGCTTGAAAGTGAGAATTCTCTATACATTTGCACTAAGACCCTTAGCCAAACACCTTCATCTTGGAGCCAAGGTTCTTAAAGGTCTTGTTTGAGCTCTCAAAGCTGGTTTTAGGTCAGAAAAGTGGCTGTTTGTTGCTGTGCTTCAAAGGTATAAAGCGCACCCCTTTTAAGCTTATTTCTGCACACTAGTTTGGCCACCTTTGCATGCTGTTTCTGGCCTAGTTTTCAACTACAAAAACCTCTGTTTTTAAGGTTTAAAAATGATGGTTTAAGGCCTCTTTCGAGTTAGGGGTGGTCCACCCTCTTTCATAGCTTGTTTGCTAAGTTTTGTGCCATCTTTTAAAGCTTTTAAAACAACTCTTTTTTGGCCTTTTAACCATTGAATTCTAGGGGAATTTCAATGGTAAAAACTTGGTTTTGGGGTCCAAAATAGGAGGGGGTGGCCTCCCCTCCTTGTGTCTTCTTTGCAAGTGTAGATGGCCTAACTTGTGAGCATGTTTTTCTACCATTTTGTGACTTGATCTTAGCATGTTTTTGCTACTTTTTTGACCTGTTTTAGCTCTGTTTTGAGCTAGTTTGGCCAATTGAGGCTTGCTTTTATGCTTGTAGTGCAAAGGTGTGTAATAGTCTAGTTTGTGCTATGTATTAGCCTCTCATTCTTGCTCTTTTTAACCTACATCAAGCATGTTTTAGGCCTTATTTTGGCATGTCTCAACTCTATTTTTGGTTGGTTGGAGCACTTGTTGCTTGCTTCTTGCACTTATGGTGTAATTATGCTTACTAGTCTAGCATGCCTAATGATTTAGCCTATTAGTCTACCTTGTGTTAGCTTGATTCTAGCACATTTTAGCTACTATTTTGACAAGCTTTAAATTTGTTTTGGGTTGGTTAAGTCCTTCGAGGCTTGGTTTGCATGGCTATAGTGTAACGGTCTTCACTAGTCCATTGCTTTGAGGCCTTGAGCATGAAGTGTTTAAGTTATTTGCATGTTATATCCACATTTTGCATGTAATTTTAGTACCATAACCTCTGTCATGTGCGCATCTATTTCACTCTTTCATTGCTTTTGAGAGTTGTGCCTTATGCCTTGTTTGTAGCCTAACAAATGAGCATGTTTTTCTTGCCTTTTGTACTACCATCTCAGCATGTTTTAGCCATTGTTTTGGGATGTTTAAGCTCTGTCTAAAGCTGGTTTAGTCCTTTGAGCTTGATATTGCATGCCTCTAGTGTAGTGCTCTTCACTAGCTTTAATGCTTTTGGTTCTTAACATTTTATGCATGTGTTGCTTACATGTTGTAGTATCATTTTTCATGCCATTTCAGCACTGAAATATCTGCAACCTCCCTCATTTCTTCACTTTTCATTTGTTTTGAGGGTTGGTTAACCTTAAGGTTGTGTTTAAGCTTAAGATAGAGCTTGTGCTCAATGGTTTTAATCCTCTTTTGAGGGTTTCTACTAACCAAAGGCATGATCTCTCTCATGTCTTAAACCATCTTTTGGTTGACCCCTCTCTCATTAGAGAACACTCACCTTGGACTTAACCGGTTAAAGAATGGCTTGGTAACGCTAAAATGTGTAAACAAGAATTGGACAAGTAAAACATGACTAAGATAAGCATGTTGTGTTTGCATTGCATTGTGTTCAATCTGACGTTATATTGAACACAAGGAAGATTGGTCCATTTCATACTTGAAGTGATGAAATGAGCCAATCTCCTTTGTCTCCATTGCCTTTGATCATCCATGATAAGGCAGTGGTCTACAGTCTTGTTTTTGTGCAATTATTGAAAGTATACAACTTGGATCTTTGGCCATCATGGAATGAAAATGCTTGATTGGTGGTTTTGGATCTAAGAATGCCACTTTTTTAATGTTTTGAGATGATAATGAGGGGCATAGTACAAACATATCTTTGGAAAACCCTCTATTTTCCTCTGTTTGTGCTCTGTTGCAGTGTAGTAACTCAGCACACCAATGGCCGGCAGTGACACACTTATGGCCGGCAAGGCTTCATCCTTGGCCGACACTGCCTCTCTTTGGTCGGCAGGTGGCCACAGCAAATTCTTATGGCCGACAGGCCACTGGTGTATTCCTCAGCATGGAATTGGTAAGGCAGAGCAGAAGGTTCTTGGAGTAACCCTGCAAACAGAGCCTCTCAAGAGCAAACTGGTGGGCTTTTCGGGGCAAAGACCGAGTGCATGCATCCTTCATTACCCGAGGCAGAGTTGAGGCAGCCTAGTTTAAATATCTTGCACGATTAGTTAGTTTTTGTGAAAGAACGAATCCTGTTTTGCAGATCATGTTGAGCATAGCATGGCACTTTGAGCACAAAATGATTTATTTTCTTGAAACTGGAACTAAGAATGAATTCTTAACCGAGTATTGAGCCTATGACTGACCACAGTACACCACGCGACTTAACAAAGGAAAAATAAAGTAAATACAATCTAAACATGTTTATTTACACTCAAAATGACTCAAAACAAGAATCGAGACAAATAAAAACAACAAACACAACACTTGGATGTTTACCATCGGTAGGAGACCTCTCAGTTCACGGGGAGCCCACTACTTCTCCAGGTATTGCTTCCCATCCTTTCTTATTTATGGCTCTCACATCACTTTGGCCCTCAATCTCTTTTTCTTTGAAAAGCCATTTCCTCACTTTTTCTCTCAGCGCACATCTCTCTATTCTTTAATCTCTATTATTTTTTTATCCCTTCCCAGGTGTGGTTGATGGATAAGCTGGAAGTTATGGATGTTATGAGAGGGGGTCGATTATTCTGCTCCATTTCTAGTTCGTGCCTCGCACTTGGCTTGATACCTCACTGCTTGGAGGATGAGAGAGCTTTTGGCCCCTGCAGCTAGCTTCAGTTGTGCCCTTTCTGGCGAGTGCTTGGCTTGGCTTGAGGATGAGACACAGATTGGGCCATCCTTAGCAGCATAAACTTTTGAGAGTGCAGGCAAGAGGTAGAGGACCACTACTTGACTTATTTGTGCCCCTAGTTTATTGCTTTGACTTTTCTTTTCAGGTTTTATGATGTAAAAGCAACTTTGATTTAATCTGAGAATTGGATGGTATACTTGTGCTGAAATCACATAATTAAAGTCGTTAGTACTGAAAAGTTTCCTTTTTCGTCCAAAGAATGTTTTTTAGGTCCAAGAAATGGTCCAGTTTTGGAAAAATAGAATAATGTTCAAGAAAATTAGTCAACTCATAAAAAAAACCTCAAAAACTATTTTGGCAAATGGTCACTTCTCAACCAACGTGAAATTAACACTTGAGATGCACAATCTTAGATCTGAACTTGATTTGTCTCGCAGCTGAATCTTCTAACGAAATAGGACAACCAAATTTGAATGAAGATGAGCCAATTTGACATAGATAGGATAGCCGAGTTGAACAAGCTAATGAACATGGATGAGACTAGCAGGCAAAAAATGGTTGGGGCCAAACTTTAGGATAAAGTTGCCTACGTATCCAAATAATTAATTAGTTTGCTAATTAGTTAAGTGTTGTAATAATTAAGTAGCTTACCTTAGGTATTTCTTTATTTTGTTTTGTAATAATTAGTCTAATTAGTTTAATTAGATTAGTTAGATTAGCTTGGCTTAATGTAGGTTAGCTTATTTGTTCGGACCCTCCTTTGCGAGGGCACAATGTTGTAATAAGCGTGTGTGTGTGTGCATGTTTTCCAACCCCACTTCTTTCTCCCTTTTACTTAACCACTTTCGATGGTTAGTTTAGGGCACGTTTTGATTAGCATACCTTATGCTTTGCATGTTTGCATCCATTCATTTGTCTTGCATGCACTGGGCTCATCGTATCATTCAAGCTGCATTGTATTTCAGTACCTATTTGAATACGTGTATCAAATTGTCGCATTCATATGCCATCTTAGATAGCGGAGCCTATTAGTTTCAATTGCATGTATTCACTACTACAAATATAGATAAAGATCACACTTTTTTGGTGTGATGTATGTTTTTTAATCACACCTTTTAAGTTTTATTAAAGTGTAGTCTTTAGGAGTGTGATTAAAAATGGTCATTTTTAATCACACTTTTTAAGTGTCATTAAAAAATGCTTTCATCACACCTTTTAAGTGTGATTAATAATATTTAGATCACACCTTTTAAGTGTGGTTAAAAACATTTAGATCACACCTTTTAAGTGTGGTTAAAAATATTTAGATCACACCTTTTAAGTGTGATTAAAAACTTTAGATCACACCTTTTAAGTGTGATTAAAAACTTTAGATCACACCTTTTAAGTGTGATTAAAAACTTTAGATCACACCTTTTAAGTGTGATTAAAAACTTTAGATCACACCTTTTAAGTGTGATTAAAAACTTTAGATCACACCTTTTAAGTGTGATTAAAAACTTTAGATCACACCTTTTAAGTGTGATTAAAAACTTTAGATCACACCTTTTAAGTGTGATTAAAAATATTTTGATCACACCTTTTAAGTGTGATCCTTGGAAGTGTGATTAAAAATGATCATTTTTAATCACACTTTTTAAGTGTGATTAATAACATTTAGATCACACCTTTTAAGTGTGATTAAAAATATTTACATCACATCTTTTAAGTGTGATTAATAACATTTAGATCACATCTTTTAAGTGTGATTAATAACATTTAGATCACATCTTTTAAGTGTGATTAATAACTAATAAAATCTGTGATAAAAAAAGGTGCTACATATTTGAAAAATAATCAATATTATTTTTGTATGCACATTTGAATAATGTAATACACACTATATACTATATTTTGAATCATAACCGCATATTGAATAGAATAACGTCATATATTTCATAAATGGAAATTAAATATTCAAAACTATATACAAAGGAATTAAATAAAAAAAATTATCTGTGCTTACATATATTAAAAAATGAAAAAACTTAAAAAACTTATAAAACCCCTTTAAATACAATATGACAATACAAAATCATAAAAATAATAATATTCAGTGTGCTCTCCAAATTCTCTGAAAATAACTTCATCCATAGCTCTCTTCAGCTTCATCAAGTCATCAATCATCTTCACCAAAATGATGATTATATAACTGAATCATCCAATTCCATTAACACAACTTCATTAAACTTGAATGGTTGAAAAATCTATCATAGTGCGACCATATATAAAAATTAGTTTGTGTCAATCATTGTACCATTCACGGATGCCTCTGAAAGGATATCAGAATTCAAGCTAGAGAGAGCTGTTAGCACCAATGGGTGAGAAGCAAGTGTAGAAGCAGGGATCCTGAAACAAACAGATATTCAAACCAGTTATGAGAGTTCTATCATGTAAACTAGGGTGGGGAAGTTGTGCAAAATGGATATCATAATCACATAAGAATTTAGAACATCCACATGAACAGCCAAAAATACCCAATCACAAAGCTTTCAGTTTCCCAAGAGTAACACAGACATATGCATAGAGAGAGAGAGAGAGAGAGAGAGAGAATAAAATAATTTGGAATATAATGATAAAAAAAATATATATAAATTTATGCCTATTCTCATCCTTCAGACTTTGAAAATTAGTGTTGCATTGCATTTTGTTGTAAAAAAATAATTAAATATTCATATACATAACATATAATAATTGCTTACACTATATATAATATATAATAAATATTCAAATCTATATATTTTTGTGTGTCATCCACGTGTCATGTCCGACATTGTCTGATAATATTCCTGTCGACACATCTGTGTAGTGTTTATGCCGTGCTTCTTAGCCTATGAAGCATGGACACCGCTATGGCGGTCACGATGTCGGACACTTGTTAGACATGAACATGCCCTGAACACATGTCGGATAAGCTGGAGGAATTGGACACATTAGACATGTGGGGACACAAAAAAAACATCTTAACATGAAACATCATAGGTATTAAATTTGTTTCAAAGACAGTTTGAAGTGCACATATGTATCAGCATTGCCAAACTTTTCATTTACACAATTTCCTAACTTGAAGTTTATTTTGTTCCAAAATGAGTTCTTTAAGCCACAGTCAAATCCCCAAGATAAGTAGTAGCACCCAATAACATATCTACCTAAGGCCCAATGACGCCATCCCTTTTATGATCTCATCGACAGACAAAGCTTGATTTCAAATTAAATATTTCTTCTGAACAGAATTGAGTATACCTCAGGCAAAACTCTTAGTAGCTCGAGGAAGCTTGGTATGCATTCGGGGTGAGAATTCATCTCATCTCTAAGCCAATTTACAATGCCACCATCACCCCAATCTTTAGCAGGAACATGAACAGCCAATGCAGCCACAGCAAGGCTAATCTAAAAGGTGACAAATTTTAGCTGGACATATCTTTGTATTTACATTCCAAGTTGTGTGTGCGCGCACAAGAGTGTAAGTGGTTGTACAGAGAAAACAACAATACCTGGGTTCTAACTTTAGGGGGGGCCTTTGTGAAATGTTTTCAATAAGCTCTGCATTTACAACCATGTGAAAGCTGGTAATCAGTCAAAGAAACTCTTTTGCATCACAAACATGAATCAACATATGCACACAATTGCAAGAAAACAAGTTTACATGCACTAAACAGAAACAGCAGCATATAGACAAAACTTATTTACACTACGAACAGTGGAAAATTAGGAAAAGAAACAGTGAGGGAAAGGGGGCACTAGGTACACCAACGTTGGCGTATTTTTCAGATTGCAGGATCTTGTTCAAGATATTAGGATTCAAAATACAAAGTTACAAACTGCCCATCTGCAATCCTCACACGTCTTTATAGTGTATAAGAAAGAACACTGTTGCAGATTTATCAAGAAAGAAAAGGATGGAAGAACAAGCTAAGCTTATAAAGAATCTATGTAAAGCATAACTTTCAGTTCCCACTAACTATGGTATAGAATTTGCCCCTTTCAATTAGCAAACATGTAGATCCCAAGGCTCCCCCAGTAAACAATGAAATTATAGATAGAAATGGCACTACCAACAAATCATATGATAACTCATGCCAAATTCTGAATGAGAACCTCATAAAAGTGTAAAACCTATAAATATTCTTACATTTAATAAATCTCGTAACAGGCGAAAAGCTTCAGAAGGCAGCTCTTCAAAATCTCGTTGTACCTGTCCATCACAAGCAAAATGCACTATGATATGTGAAAAGAAAGGCTGCCTTGATATACCAAAACCTATAATAAATGCAAATCAAAAGACATATTCACAGGTGAATAGCATTATATAGCAGTAACCTTTGGTACAAATCACAAATGCACAGATAATGAATAGCAGGAGAATCAGATTACCTTGCTTCTGAGGGTTTGAGAACAAAAGATTAAAGTTTCTTGATTGCTACTAGCATCATGAAGTAAATTATCGGAGACCTAAACAAGCAATAACATATTAGTAAATCTCAACAATTAAAAAAAATGAGATCCAACCAACACATGATAAGAACAGAATCAAGTACTACAATGAATATGTATCATGTTAGCGCATCCGAGGAATAAATCTCAACAATTGATGTGCTTTTTTTTCCGTCGGCTAGAGAAACCCCAGTGATGGCAGATGCACCACATATTTTACACATCACTAATTATAATAATATTTAATGAAATTTATTCATCAATGTACATGATACACCATGTGTAACGTTGGCATATACGAGCAACAAGTAACGCCCAATTGATACCACCAAGAAACCTTGAAACCTGATTGTGACAGAGAATCACACAGCAGTAACGCCCAATTGATATCACCAAGAAACCTTGAAACCTGATTGTGACAGAGAATCACACAGCATATGTAGTCAGAAATGAGACACAGCAACAAGAACAAAGAAACATTAAGAATGAAAGAGCATCCTCACATTTGAATAAACCCCACATCACTTTGCCCAGAGTGTCACACATCTCAGTGTAGTACGAAAGCTCTGACCATGACAAAAATAAACATAATCAGCAACACATACAAAAAGCCAAATTTATGAACAAAAATATTCAATAACAACCTGAATATTTGGGACCAAACGCAAAATTTGATCAGTCACTCTGCATCCATTGAGACTATGAACTGTCTGCTCATCTACATTCTGCAGTATTGAATCTGGTGAAATATTCAAGTCCTGTAACAGACAAACATATTTAGAGATGAACCTTGGGCTAATATATAGCTTTGCCCTTGATACTACACTAATTCAAGGCGGTGTGGCGTGCCCGTGAGGGCAGTGGTGGCTCTGCATTCTAAACCTGGGCTAATATAGCCTTGTACTTTGTTACTAAGTTCATTCATGGGGTGCTTGATCCTGAGAGAGTTGAGAAATTTTTCTAGATGAGGAGAGCATTTGAACCTAGTCTATATATATATATATATCCCATGAGGGGACATTGGTGACTACTTTGAAGCCCGACCAGAGCTTCTAGGCACGTTGACACCCAGATTTTGGCATTACCATGCTACTTTGGCCACAACCTGCTGGTATCGACAACCTGTGGGCAAGGCAAGTCCAGTCCTAGGCGCATCTCAGGCCAATGGCATCGTCACACCTTTGGCCGATGAAGGGAGGACACTGTCTTCTTTGTGAGTTGGAGGTGCAGGTGTTGTTGGGTCTTGCGGGGCTCACCACAGTTCTACTCGGATTATCTGACTAATTGATTTTTGTTCAATTATGTTTATAGATTATTTATTAAAAAAAAAATTAAACTAATAACAGTAACCAAAATTCTGTTCTACCATTTATACTCTTCAAAAGCTCTCCAATACAATCCATACCCAAAATGACATTGCCTATGGAGCAATTGTAAACATAATCATAACTAGTTACTCTAGTTCAACAATTCTCACAATTCAAATCAAATCAATCATACACATGTATACAAGTGATAAAAAGAGCGAACCTTGAGGTAAAGAACACCGCCGCCCAAACCCTGATCACCGCCGGTGAACTTAAGCCGAGCTTCGTTATCGAAAAAGCAAGCCCCTTTCCACTCAATCGACCCATTGGTAGGGGAGACTGATCCGACGAACGACGGCAACAAGTCAACGGCGCTGTGGAGATTGTTGAGCATAGGCCACGAAATCTGCCAAGGAAGAGCTGGAAGGACATCGTTGACTCTGAAGGGTACCTTCAGAGATTCCCCAAAATTCAAACCAAACACTAAACCTAACCCCAGAAAGTAAATTAACCCCAGCAACCACATGCTACGAGCAAACACCATCATCGTCAATATGTATGTACAGAATTGTGGTGATTGTGTATAGCCCTAGATTTGGGGTTTGAGGGAGGGAGGGAGGGAGGGCGTATTATGGGCGGAGAAGGATGAGAGTTTGATCCATGGTTTGGGTTTGGACTGGTTCAAGTGACTGCTAGGGCTCGTTTGCCCTTTCGGCTGCTCCTCCGCCGAGCGGGAATAGAAAAAAAAAAAGGTGGGGAGGGGAGCGGGAATGGAAAACAAAAAGGGGCGGGAATAAAAAATAATATATATATATATATATATTTTGTCAGAAATGAAATTTAAATAACAAAATAATGTCGTTTATTTTATTTTATTTTATTTTTTGCGACGGGGGTTGTCGTCATCAAAAAAAATTATTTTTTGTTAAAATATATATTTTTTTGTAGTTAATGAATTTTTTTTTAAAAAAATCTTTTTTTTTTAGCTACTAAGATTGAAAATTTATTTGTTTCATTTTTATTTTAATAAAAAAAATATTATTATTTTCTATTTGGTAGAAGTAGGGGTAATATTTTAATAAAAAATATTTTCCACTAAAATAAAAGATAATTTTCTGTGGTCAATGAAAAATATTTTTCTACGGCCTATTTTTTTTTTGTTATTAAAAATCATGAACTAATTTTTTGTGGTAGAGGAAAGAGAGCGACAGTGAAGGTGGTGGATAAGAGGTGATGGTGGCGGCGGCGGCGGCGATGGGTGGTT